GATATGGGACTATGACGACAAGATCTGTACTCTGTACTGTACTGGGTTCGAGTCAAACCAAAAAGAAGAAGTGCATTAAACACGAGGGAAGCATTCCTGCGACGGGGAACCCAGGCACATTCCACCGAAAAGTACGCGCTTACATATACCTGATACGCTCTGCAGTCATGCAAAGAGCCGAGCACTATTGAAAGAGGCTCTCTGTTGAGAGGCATAGAGAGCCCAAGGTTGGAGAGATGGGATGGAAGGGAGGGAGAATACGTAGTATATTTTAAGAAATTCCATGACATGACAGATCCGTACATTTTATCAATATCAAGGGGAGAAGCGAAGTGCACGGATCGGAATACGGACGAGGAGAGCGATGTAGGGATGTAGTGTAATTTGCGACAACTGCGGTCACGCTGTGCCCCAACTCTCCGGGGTCTTTGTAAACCCGCCAATTCACAATAAATATGTTCCTGTCGAGTCGTCCCACTCCGCTTTCTTATCTTTTCTTCTTTCCCATTCTCTTTCCACTCTCGTTCGTTCAATCGTACGACTTTATTTTTTTCCTCCTTTTTATTCTTAGAGAATTTACTCCTTAGTGACGGTCAGTCGTCATCTCTCCTTCTAACCAGTCAGCCTTCAACAGTTTGTTAATCCCCTCGTTTCCTTAGCTTTAAAGCATCCTTCCACTGTCTGCTCACAATGCGGGCCCTAATCCGCCCAGTCTCGATCCATGCGGCGTCATCACCCATAGAAACCATCGTGTTCTTTTTCGTTCTCGCCACACTCGCATACTTTCATGTCCTTTCCGCCATTAAACATTCTTCCTTCTTCGCCCCAACTACTCTTCCACCTCTACGTCCATCACATGTACTCTGGCGTGGAGATGAATGGACTAACGTTCCTGAAAGCGAATGGAAAGGCGCTCTTGATTATCCGTCTTCGCGTGGCCCTACCGTCGACTTACAACAATTGATCATGTCTTTCGATGCTAGGACAGCAAAAAGGTGTGTACATGGTCCCGTGTTACATGTCAGATGCATTAACCAATTGATACAGATTGCTGACAGTTCGAGGCTGTCCTCGGAGGTCGCTAGTTCCTTGGAAAACATAACTCATTTCCTCACCCACCGTTTTCCCACGTCCTCTGGAAAGTCATACACGAATATCTGTTATTTGGTTCCGGATAATCAGGATGGAGAATCAACTTGTTTCTTCTCTACCATCTCAGACAACCCGAGATCTGAAACACTGACGTTGTCATTCGCGGCGGGGGGGCGTAAGGACTTCATCAGCAGTCTCGCGAGGCAAGGCACCTTGGTTTCTGAAGATTTTGGTCCTATAAAATACATTGTCGAGAGTTCAGAGCAGGAAGCACTTGCAGAGATGAAGAGCGGCAAATGGGTCATGTACGCAGCGCGTACTCTAGTAGTCCGCTTCTGGGACCTCACCAAGGTCAGCATGAATCTTCCTGGTCATCCTTGAAATCGAATTCACTGTTACACCATTAGAAAGCGGATAATCTGGACATCCTGCTCGTCCTTGCTGGATATGTATTGATGCACACAACATTCATTCGCCTTTTCCTGGCGTCTCGAAGCCTTGGCTCCAATTTCTGGTTAACTACAGCAATACTCTCATCCTCAACTCTATCTTTCATGGTTGCTCTGCCCATTGCTAGCTATCTTCGCATCCCTCTTGATCCCGTGAGCCTAATTGAAGCTCTACCTTTCCTGGTCTGCACAGTCGGATTCGAGAAACCCCTTCGCCTCGCCCGTGCCGTATTTAGTCATCCACACCTCATGAAACCCGCCATTCAAGAAGGGCGCCTGCGTGGTCAAATGAAACCCGCTCCAGATCTTATTGTTGAGGCCCTTGACAAGGTCGGCAACATCATCATTCGGGACTATGCCCTCGAAATTGCTGTGCTCCTTATTGGCGCATACAGTAAGGTCGGCGGGCTCAAAGAGTTCTGTGCTCTTGCGGCCCTGCTCTTGACCGTAGACTGTGCAGCCACGGCGACGTTCTATGTTGCCATCCTTAACGTTATGATTGAGGTACGGTCCGGTCTTCATCGATCACGTGATAGGGTTTCTGGGGACGCTTGTCTGGTGATCTGACGTCTTTTTGTTGTAGGTACGCCGCATTAAGATGTTCCGCGCCTTGTCATCACGACGGTCATCCATGTCGGATGTCAAGCCCCCCGTGATTGTGAACGGTCAGCTACAGATGCCAAAACTCACTTTGCGTCAGCGCACCTCGGCTGCACTGTTGGGCGTAAAGGGTTCTCTGCTCAAGTCACAAACCAAGGAGAAAGATGGAAAGGAGGAGAATCCCGTCGCTCGTTGAAGTTGTTGTTGGTAGGTGGATCTTCGTTCGCTTGATTACAAACTTAACCTTTGCCTGTAGATCGTCTCATTTCTCTCACTCCATTTGTTGAACCTGTGTGCTACGTTCACACCTGGTCCATCTGTGGCTCGCCTTCAACAAGCCCAGGACACACTCTATATAAGTGACACTTCACCTGCCTTCCGCACCGTCGACATCACCAGCCCTCCCATTGAACGCTCCCTCTCCAGCCTGGCAGCGCTTCATAGTGAATCAGAGTTGATCGTGCGCATATCTGCTCCGATTCACGTGCGAATGGTACCCATTATAACTCCGCACCTTCATAAAGAGTCAAAGGTCAAAGAGCACGATGCAGATGATATGATTGATAACTTCATGTCTTCATGGACCCGCCTTGTTGGCGACCCTATCCTGTCCAAATGGATTGTTCTACTCCTGGGCGTCAGCGTCGCACTTAATGGCTACCTTCTCAAGGGTATCTCTACTGGGACTGGTTCTACCCGTAGTGTTCAACAGGCTCAAGGCGTCCGGTTCAATGCCGACCGAGTTCAGGAGCGACAACCAGTAATTTCTTCTCCCGCATCTCTACCTACTTCTGCCATGTCAAACCACCGCGCGGAAGGTGTCGTCGCTTACTCCGCAGCACCTGCAGTTGTACGACCTATCCCTGTGTCAGCCATCCGCAGAGCGCCCTCCGTGAATGGAATCTCGTCATTACTAGATTCAGTCGACCAGAAACTTAAAGCACAGCAACCCACGTTCACAACAGGTGACGAATCAGATTCACAAGACGAGGAGTCAGGCACGAAGGAGACTTCAACTGCTGTGCGGTCACTAGAAGAGTGCATTGATATCTTTGAGAATGGCCCTCGCCCGGTCTCCGTATCACTCTCGCTACTCAATGACGAAGAAGTTATTCTATTGGCCCAGAACGGTAAAATTCAAGCGTATGCTCTCGAGAAAGTTCTAGGTGATCTAGAACGCGCAGTTTTAATTCGAAGGGCGTTGGTCTGTACGTGCATTTTCATTTTTTTGAAGAATTTTTCATGGTTGACTGATGCCCGTAGCTCGTTCGTCGAGAACCAAGACTTTGGAACACTCCGATATTCCCCTGTCACATTACGATTATTCTCGTGTGATGGGTGCCTGCTGTGAGAACGTTGTCGGCTACATTCCTCTTCCTCTCGGTATCGCTGGTCCGCTCAAGATAGACGGAGAACTGTTTCCAATTCCCATGGCGACAGCAGAGGGCACCCTCGTTGCTTCAACATCGCGTGGTTGTAAAGCCCTTAACGCCGGAGGAGGTGTCGCCACTGTTGTTACCTACGACGGCATGACTCGAGGTCCTGCGATCGATTTCCCATCGATTGCTCTCGCAGCTGCTGCTAAAGCTTGGATTGACTCAGCAGAAGGCAGTGCAATACTCAAAGAAGCATTCGAGAGCACGTCGCGCTTTGCGAAACTGCAGAAGCTCAAGGCTGCAATGGCAGGCCGGACGTTGTTCGTGCGATTCGCAACGAGTACTGGCGATGCAATGGGCATGAATATGATCTCGAAAGGAACCGAGAAGCTCTCGGAGTTATGAGCAAGTACTTCCCAGAGATGGTTGTCCTCGCGCTCTCTGGTAATTATTGTACCGATAAGAAGCCCGCCGCCATAAACTGGATCGAGGGACGCGGCAAGAGTGTGGTTGCAGAGGCAGTCATACCTGGCCACGTTGTCAAGTCGGTACTGAAGACCACGCCAGAGGCGCTGTGCAACCTCAATACGAAGAAAAACTTAATCGGCAGCGCAATGGCAGGGTCAGTCGGTGGCTTCAACGCTCATGCCGCAAACATCTTGACGGCGATATTCCTTGCCGCCGGGCAAGACCCGGCACAGAATGTGGAATCGTCTAACTGTATGACTCTGATGGAATTGTGAGCTGTTTCTCTGCTATATCTGCCGAGAATGTGCGCTGACTGAAAGGCCAGAACAAACGACAACAAAGATGTTCTAGTCACCATCACAATGCCTTGCATAGAAGTTGGTACTGTTGGCGGTGGCACCGTCCTCGGCCCTCAGCAAGCTGTATTGGAGATGCTAGGGATTAAAGGTGCCCATCCGACGGAACCTGGTCAGAATGCACGACAACTTGCCCGTATCATTGCCGCTGCGGTCATGGCAGGCGAACTCTCCCTCCTTGGCGCCCTCGCTGCTGGCCATCTCGTTCGTGCGCATCTCGAGCACAACCGTTCTCAAGTTCCCACACCTGCGGCGTCACGACCCATAACACCGGGACCCGAAACGCCACCAAATGTGCTCTGGGTACCAGGAACACCCAACTCAAAGTCTGTTACTAAAGCAACGACTGGGCCCTTGACAGCGTCCTCGTCCACAATGTCGCTGGCTGGTTACAGCATAGAACCCAAGGCTTGAGGCACAGTGTTTGCTGGTGTAAATTCGTCACTGTCTATCTTCGCATCATTGCTCTACATTATTAATACTATACCTAGTCCCCACACGCCAGATTTGCTTGTGGTTGCGACTTGAATCCTCACACATCTTTATACATTTGCTTCATCTATTCTAACGACGATGCACTGAAGTGATCACATGGGTGTGAATGCGGCGAGTAAACAGCGTTGTGGGCTCTAGTCGCGTGACCCTCTAACTTTATTGAAGCCCGCCTAGCTCAATCGGATAGAGCGTCAGACTCTTACGGCGGGTGTGATCTGAAGGCTGCGAGTTCGACCCTCGCGGTGGGCTAATTACGTATTTTTTTTTACGTCCCTGCGGTCTTAGCGACCTAATCAACTCCCAATTTATAGTTATGATTTCCAGTTGGGCCACAGGACAAGGACCACCAAGCCCGGGTATACTATTCATGAGACAGAGTAGCATCCGTACCTCGAACTCATTATCTACTCCTTGCGTTGCCGGGTTCGTCCCCAAAATCCAAGGCTGACACCGCCATTCATTGATCTCGACTCGAAACAACCTCCTGACTTGTCGTGCTCCTCTGCCAACTTGCACAACGCACTGAGCGTCGTCCACTGGGGTTCATATCCAAGACCACCATTCTCTGGGGATCGTCGAGCGCGCGAATCATCCCAAATTAGGTGCACCGTGATGAGTGAGAACAACGAGGGTTGAAGGTTGATGAGATCGCCACCGGGTGCCGGTACGAGCTTTCCGAGGAGATGAATGAAGAGGTTCGACGACAGCGCCGCGAAAGACTGTAGTAAGTGAAGCCACTCGACCATATGGGAGAGCATAAGCATGGTCGTGGCAGACAGTCGAGGAAACACGGTCCGTCCATCGGTGAGGGTGGTGAGCACGGTGTACACGTCACCGTAGGTGAGGGGAGGACCGGCATCCACGATGCTGAACGCTTGGCCGCCGAGATCAGGATGCGGAGAGCCCTGGGCCTTGTCTATCAGACGCCGTTCGTAACAGAAATGGGCGAGCGAGGCGTTCTCCACGTAAGTGAAATTCTGGAGGATATCTCCAATCCAAGAAGGATTGACCTTCCGGGCGAGATATGCGCCGCACAAAACGTCTCCCCCAGGGCCGTAGATCCCATTCCCGGGTCGCAGACACCCCGTGCGGAGAAATTCTTGTTGTCGACCCCCCCTCTGACTCTTCCCAGTTAGAGTACGATCGGCCGCGCGTACTAGCTTTTCGGCTTTGATTTTGGATGCAGCGTAGTTTGAGAACATCTCTTTGTGGCGCCTCGGCAGGCGACTGTCGTCGTCGTTGATGGTTTGCACGAAAAATTTTGGTTCACTCTCCCACGGCCAGAGCCAGTGTCGTGTGCGCCGAATGGACACTGAACCGCTCGAGGTATAGATGAAGACGGTTACGCCGATGGCCCGTGCGGCATCCAGCACGTTTTGCGTGCCGTCGACGTTGACTCTGTCGGATAGATGCTGCAGTCTCGGATCACGCTCGTAGAACCGTATGTTGGCCGCGGTGTGAAATACGGTGATCTCTCTGGACTGTACCTCCTCCGCATCCTGATCGTCTTCCGTTCGGAGACCAGAAGTAGTAGTAGTAGTAGTAGTCTGAGGCCGTGGCTGCAGGTTCAGCTGCGGCCACGGTGCGGCGAAAGCGGCATGAACTTGTTCCTTGTCGGAGATATCGACGGTCAAAAAGTCGACCTCTTTAGCCGGGCCATTTGTCAGATCGGGGCGCGTCGGGGCGCGCACGTCAAGAACTCTGATGCACCGGGGATGTTCCCCGCGCTCGAGTAGATGACGAACGATCCAGCCACCGAGAAAGCCGGCCTATCCTAGCCCAAGTCGATTATGAATAAGTCAGCGGTGGCAACCGACTTGGTACACATTCCCGAGTGACATGATTCGTACCCCACCAATCACGACATACCTTCTCCCTGTCCTTGGTGGGAGGAACGTTTTGGGTTCGGGTGTCGGTTTCTCCCTCCTGGCTGCTGCTGCTTCCAAAGCATCCCTTGCACTGATCCTCTGCGGAGAGAAGGCGGAGGCTACGTCGTGGGGCAGGTGCATGATTTTAGCATCATTCAAGCGAATGTAAAAGTACAGGAGAAGCGCGATGGAGAGGCAGATGAGGAAAAACATGAAGCTCAGCTCTAGTTAGCCCCATCTGAAAGGTATTATTAAGGCCGACAACCTTGTTGTTCTCACGAGACCGCGACATCAAAATCTAAGTCGAGTTGAACCACCATGTGGTCGCACTTCTTGGGCTGACTCGGCTGAGCCAACGTTCATCAGTGGCACGTGCTAGGTGATAGTAAATTAAGCGAGTGTGGGGGTCGTCCTAAAGGACGATGACAAAGTATCTACGTAGGTGAGCAAGTGTGTCAATGTAACTAGGTAGAAATAAAGGCTCTCACCTCAGTACACTCAGGCTAGCGCGTGTACTGAGGGACCTACGAAGATGTAAAGAAGGTATATATGGCCCTAATGGCCAGACAAACGCATGGGGACTGTCCATCTGGAGAATGCGAGAATGCTGCCTAGCTAGCCTATGTCTAAACGGTCCAAATTACTGTAAATGGCGTCGCGATCGCAATATAAACGATGATAATGAGCCAAAGGGGAGATGCCTCTCTCATAAACCTGTGCCATTGGTAGTGTCTATGATCCAGCAAAATACTGTACCACCACTGACTCAAGGTGCCAGGTGGTAAGTTACCCTCACGTGCGCTGCTAGGACAAGGAGGCAGGATTGTGGTACGATGAGTGGTCATTTGTTGCTCTTTTTCATGTATAGCAACCAAATCCCAATATATTATCACGCCCGACGATCACAACGGCACATGTACAGATTGGATCTACAGATTGAGCATGTAAACGGCAGGAGGGTGTACTTAGGCAGGCGGCGGTGGCGGCGGTGCTGGTTCGCTAGGAGGCGGCGCAGGAGCCGCACCGCCAGCACTACTTGCAGGGATGGCGTCAGAACCGGGCGTCGGAGCCGTGTAGCCCTGAGATGCATAATATTGGTTGTATTGTGTCATTTGACTCGCTTGCCATTCCTTGAACTCTGGCGAATTAACATCATAACCATAGGCAGCCCTGTAATAGGTCAATAGGGGTGACCGGAGTCATGCATGGTATGAAACACGTACCAATACGCCGTATAGGCGTCCAGATCGGTAGGTGCTGGTGCAGCAGCCGCGGTACTGGCGCCAGCTGTAGTCCCATCGGATGGTGGGGGCGGTGGTTGTTCACCGGGCGGCGGCGGTGGCGGCGCCGCTGATGGAGGAGGTGGTGCATAACCCTAAGAGAACAGATACGTCAGCAAAAGAGGATCCTAATGGAGGAAGTGGTATTCTTGGATAGATAAGACACGTACGGGCATCATACCATACGAGGCATACTGCATTTGTGCCTGATGGAGTTCCATCTGTTGTTGGTGCACCATGGCCTTGACCTTCGCATACTCCCCTCGGACAACTTCAAGTAGGTCATCAGTCAACACTTTCGCGCGCGCAACCTGACCATCCTCGGGCCCGCTAGTAGGGAGGTAGGAAGGGGGGATGTGTCAGATTAGTTCCCAAAGTAAACACAGAACGCACGTTATGTGAATGTGCATGGGCTCTTCGGACTCCTTTCCCGTTTCCTGATCCACAAACCCTGATCCTTGCCCCTTTATCTGCACGCGGGTCCCCGTTTCTTGTTGAATATACTTGACGAACATGCCCTACACGGATGGGGGTCGCAAGAAGCACTTTGTATCGACTGGCCGAGGAACTTACAGTAGGCCCAACAACCTTGGCACGCACGTTGAAATTTCGAATGGACTCCAAGCCGATGAAAATCTTCTCTTCGGGCCATTTGCGCTGAGAGTGTGAGGGAGATGTGAACACGCACGCACAACCTCACGTCGCGCGCGCGCAGCAAGAGGAACGGACCTTTTCGCGTCTCCCTTTATCCTCAACAAGAGATCCCATGTCGAGTGCGATGAGCTCATTAACTTTGTCGAGGGCATTTTGTAACATTTCTTTCGTGTTTGCCGATACGTGGAGATACAATGGAGGATCCTTTTCCGTAGCCTTTGAACGATCTGGGTACCATATGCCCTTGGTGCTGACAGAGGCACCCGTCTCATCGTGAATCTAACGAAAGGTGGCCATAAACTTTTGGTATCGTTCGCGTGATTCGGTGTGAAAGAGGTCACGTACCTGTTGTTGGGTAGAACCTTTGGTCAACATGTACCGGTTTCTCACATCATTGATGTCAATGTCTTGAGTAAACTCTCCGTCGTGTATGTCTTTGGGACCGAGTAACCCACTCCCTCCCCCGGCCGCTCCGCCACTGTACTGAGCAGCGATTTTAGCCGCGATGGCTGCAGCTGCAGCCGCTGCAGTTGAAGCGCTTTTCCCTTCTTCTACTTTTGCAAACTTCGACGGGGATTCAGGTTCATCTTTTAACTCTTCTGGGGCAGCCTGGTCCCATTTTCGTTTGGAGGACATCACGGGTAGAATGAGGTGGTAGCGACAGACCGAGACAGACGCGACTTGGGCAAGAAGCGTAAAACGTAATTATGTAATACAGGATACGACATAGCAAGAGAAACGACTTAGACAACCTCAACAAAGTTGCCGGAAACAATCCCTCCCGCCCGTCGACCTTACCCCTCCACCTATGGAGACCAAAAGTCAGCAAGCAATACTCCTTCACGAAAAAGACAAAGACCTACCATGTATCTGTCGAATTACTCTTCTCCATAATCGTAATGACTTGACCTTTCGAAAAAGACAAATCTCCAGGCTCAACGGCATGGAAATCGAACTGCGCAATTGCACGACCGACTCCTCTCCCTGTACAAGCGGCTTACTCAGCACACGTTCGCGTTCAGCCTCACGGTATTGTGCAGCAGCAGCATCTATAACACGAGTTCCCGTTCCAAACGGGTTATCATCATCCTCGAGTGTCGGGCCGAATGAAGACGACCTGATATCATAGCCATCGTTTTCGCGCTCTGCTTGTGAATAGAAGGGATTTGCAGGTTTCGCGGCACTGCTCGATGATCGGGTGTGTGCCGACTGCAGCCGAGCACCGGCACCAGTGTCAATGGAAGAATCGAGGGACCTGCCGGGTGTATGTCGCACGGACGGGCGTGAGGTGGGCTGAAAGTCGTTATCAAAGTGGGTCTCAAAAGGTGGAGGATTGTCAAATGCGGGAGCACGGTCGTAGTCCCAAGCAGAGCCGGAAACGGTCTCTTCTGTAGGAGGTCCAGGGTAACCGCCCGAGTTACTACGTATGCCCCACGAGTCAGGCGGG